CCTCCACCATCACCACCACCACCAGCAACACCACCAACAACAACAATCACCACCACCGCCAACAACCACCACAACCACCATCACCACCACAACAACAACCACCACCACCAACAACCACAACCACCATCACCCCTCTCCTCACCCCGTGGCAGTCCCAAGTCACACTCCAGCCAATCAGGGATGGTTTGGTTGTAGGTACATTTCTCCCACAAGCCCTCCCTGCTGCCGTTAGCTTGTAGCCAGGCCGTGGCCGCCACAGACAGCATCAGCAACAGCACGGCCAGAACTCCACACAGTAGTCCTACCACCTGGGGAAGGGAGACGTGATATCATCATCATCATCATCATCATCATCATCATCATCATCATCATCATCATCATCACATCATTGTTGAGGTGGCCTGGTTAGGCTACCGGACTAGTAATCGTGAGATTGAGGGTTCGGGGGTTCGAACCTCAGCTCGGTCCGACGTTATGTCCTTGGGAAAGTCACTTTACATGAATTTCCCCCTTGACTCGAAGGTTCTTTTTGAGATGGACGTTAAACTCGGAGGTCCCGCCTGAGACATAACCTGGCTGTGTTGATAGGAGCGTTAAACCTATACAAATTCATCATTTCATCATTTCATCATTGTTGTAAGCTCGAAGATAAAAAAGGCAAAACAACAACAACTACAACAAAGACCCAACTAAAAAACCAACAAACAAAACTGGTGGAGACAGTAGAATTTCAATATCTAGAACACTGTATAAGTTTAACGTTTAGATCTAACCCTACGGGCTTCGGTAGGAATATGGTAAAATCACCATCCTCATCAAATACCAGATCTGCGATAGACATCGCTGATCCTGGTTTGCTATTCATTCCTTTGCTCGAATGCTCTAAAAAACAAAAAAAAAAACAGCAACAACAACAAAAAAACCAAAAAAAACAACCCAAAAGCAAAAACAAACAAAACCCCAACATAGCTAAATTATATTATCCCGATTTGTCCCCCGTCACCTAACATAGATATAACAGAAACGTAAATGCCAAGTACATACTATCATTATTATTCTTTTTTATTACTGAACGTCACACACAATTCTACCATTGTTAATCGTCACAACTCCATGGATTGTCACAGAGAGTCCCCACTTCTCTTACCTTGATTGGCCTGACAACGAGCACGGTTTCTATGGCAACCGTGGGCGCCTTGGTGATTCCGTCAGCCCCCATGTCTGCGGTGGGTGAGGTCGGAAGCGGAAATTGGGATCACTAATTGTAGCTGTTCGCAATGGACGCTGAAAATAAACAGATACTGTGTTAACAAACATTTGTCATTAAATACAGATTTCAACAAAAGTTAAGGACCACTTTGACAGACTGACCTGATTTTTTTTAATCTGAAAAAAAGACAGAAAGGAATGATTCTAAATTTTTGCTCTGAAAGTGTTAATGGGTTACCAGTGGGTACTGCAAAACTTCCTAAAGTGGCCAAACCACCACGTACAGCACGGAAATTCTCGGGGAATTCTAGCCAAATTTGCTGTTTGTTATCAACTTGTGTGCTACACCACGGACATTCCTCAGTTAAAATTTCTTGTGCACGTCATAAACGGACGTACGTCTCGAACTGTACTCACTTTGGTGGCAATACAAACCGCCGTTTGCGCAAAATCCAGTATCGCATCAACATACCACCAAGACGAAATCTGAGAGACTTTGATCTTGCCAGAGCTATGGCATGGCTGCAGGATGAAATTGGAGCCAGAGAAGTTGCCAGAAGGCTTGCAGTGCCACACTCTGTCACTGTCCGCTCGACAAGCGCCATCAAGCAACTAGATCAGTCCAAGAACGCCCACGTGCAGGACGACCCAAGAAGACCACTCAGAGTGTTTGCAAGTGGTCCTTAACTTATGTTGAAGTCTGTAGTTGAGATATACTATTTGTTACTGTAGATTTGCTAACCTAGATTTACAAAGTTCTATATCTGCTCAATACCCAGTTTAGAGGAATTCGACGTTAAAAAAATGTTGCGTTTCACACCATATAAAGCTTTTCCGAATATAATTCTTTGAATATCTTGATAACAACTCCGAACTCACGATTTTGATAGAGCAGATAGAACACAATGTTGTTTCTGGGCTCATGGTCTAAGTAACTCAAAACGGCCAAAAATGTCATATAGAACTTTGTTATTCCAAGATAGCGAATTGTTACTGTAGATGTTTTACCCCCCC